TAGTAGTAGTAGTAGTAGTAAAATAACAAAACTGAAAAACACCCTGGGCTCTGGGTGAAAAAATGTTTTGCTATTCGTTCGTCAAACTTTTCAGGGTGGGTTAATATTTTTGCGTTTTTTAACATTCCGTCCCACTTATTCGGACGCGACATCACTTCCAATCGCTTTTCTTTGCACTGCGTTGCGTGGGTTTCCCACCCGACAGAAGCACATCTCCCTTTCAAGAGGGTGCAGAGGGCTTAGGTTGAAAGGAGAAGGATGCAAGGGATGGATTTTGGAAACGGTACCATGGTGCCAACATGTGCCATCCAAATTTCATCTCCTTCTTAAAGGCCACTCTGCCCTCCAACCTACTATAGAGGTGCCAACATGTGCCATTGAAAAGGTTTCAAGAGTGTCCAGCCCAATCTCAGCCCTCTGTTTACCTGAGGCCCAATGGCCTCGCAGATGGCACCGAGCAGTCCGGGCTCAAGTGGTAGAACTGGCCCATGATGGCCCATGGGTCAACAAGATGTTCCCAAAACCGAATGAAAAAAAATTACCAGAACCTGAGGGTTTGATCTGATGGAGCCTCCAAGTAGCTGACTTCGGACATTCTGCGTATAGGTTTCGCCTTTGGGGTGTGGTCGTCCGTTTGGGGTGCCTCGTTTGGTTGCGGAGACAGGGAAGTTGGGGATGTTATCAAGACTGACCACACGTCCATCAAAGCCACATGGCCTTTAAATGGCGAGGCTAAGTTCAAATGAGTTTGGTTGAAATGGCTATTGACAGCTACCTCCAATCTCGCATAGCAAGCAATTGCAAGGGAAAGAACTTCTGGTTGTCATGTTTTTAGGTTGTGTTTCATGAGGTCAGGTTGTCTTACTTTTTTAGATGTCTTGAGCCAAGTTGTGAAGGATCATCGATTTGACGACTTTTTCGTTACGACACGCGGCGAGTCGCAACGACGAGACTCTTTAGCTCATGCTGAGTGGCTGAGTTCCACCGACATCATCGAAAAAAAAAAAGAACCTTGTGATATCTTGTGATCACATATTCCCCTTGAACTGGGCCAAAGTGGTTGGTTCCCGCGAAAGCGGTGCCGGAAGGAGATGAAACTGAGATCAATTCTTCGACCAAACCACGCAGCACTTGCTGTGAAGCTCCGAAGTTGTTCATCCTTTAGGCCCCAGGGTCGATGGGCCCAGTTCAACGGTCCATGACATGGGCAACTCCCAAAGTCCGGAGCATCACCTGGGCGTTCACCGTTGTTTCCCACGGGCTTCCCCGTTGGCACCTAGGCCAAGCTTTCACCTACACCAGCGCTAGTCCCTTGGCCACCGATCTTGGGGAATGTCCTGGAGTAAGCAGGCTAGATGTCCTTCTGTGTAATTGTTTGATTTTGTTTGCATTACAGTTGACATAATCTGTACCATGCTGATGTTCATATGCCCGGATGGAAAAAAAGACCGTTTACTACGACCATGACATGGTTTCTACGACGAAAGAAACACGGAACAGCTCCAACGGCGACGCTCGCACCGTGTGGATCGTCGTTCGCTGCGTTCGAGTCGCGGAGCTGCGTTTTGTGTTCCGTTCGAGTCCCGAACATCGCTCCGTTCGTCCCTTCTCAGAACCGTAGTCGACCAGGATGCTCGACCGAAAGCTCCGGAATGCTTCATCCCGCTCCGTTGGAATGCGCATGTCGTTTTCCACGTCTCCAATATATGTCGCACGCCAGGGTCAAGTCCAAGGACAGTCCAAGCTGATGGAGTGGTTAGAGTGGTCCCCAAATAGATTAAATAGATAGTGGCAGGATGTCCAATACATGTTGAAAGTTTTTCTGTCTATTTAAGGGTCTAGGTAGTGGTAAAATGGTGTAACATGTTTTTTTGCGAGACCGGTTTTGGGGTCTCCCTGCTCCAAAGCTCAGTGGAGGATGTCGTTCGACTCCGGTGCAAGGGAGCAAGCAAGCAGGGAGTAAACAGGATGGAGAACTGGAAGCTGAACCCCGCTACTAGTAGTAGTGGCCTCCAACCTAGTAGCGATGGCCTCCCACCCTAGTAGCGTCCTTGCTGCTTACTTTCAAGTTCGACCTCCATCCGAAGAATCACCAAATTCGAATTCGGTCGAATCCGGACTCGCCGCGTGGTCCGAAGTCGGTCGGGTCCCGGCACCAAATGGACGGGAATCGATACACTTATTACTAGTAGCTTCTTGTTACTAGTAGCGATGGCCTCCACCAGCTTCTAGCTAATTTCTTGGTTTTGCGTGTTGATCTAATCATTTGTTGCTTTCCCCCAGTGACGGATGCTCATCCCTTGCCAGACAGAAGAACATCGATACTTTCCCGCTTCCCACATCTGCAAATCCGAGAAAGACCACTGTGAAGCATGAAAAACCTTCAGCCAGGCGTTTCAAAGGGGTGCTCAATAGAGGTTGGGGATGCCTATTATCCACTCACTTAGGGACTAAACACCACCCCTTTGTAACCCCTGCACAACCTGTTCATCCGGTTGTCTTACCAACTATCCAAAAGATTGCCTTCCATCAAAGCAGGGGTCACCCTTGGAAGTCCAAAGACTTTTTCGCACCACCGAAGTAAAGGAAAATCTTATTTTGTTGATCGCCTAAAGACAATGTGTTTAACAGGTTTGGGCTTCCAGGGGTCCAAATGTTTCTAGGTTTGCAAACCACTTGCGCAACGAAGGGGTTCTCACAGTGGGTGAATGGAGCCAGTGTCTCCGTGTATGTTGGGAGTCTCATGTCCAACCTCTGGTGTTCTCAGGTCTTAGGGGTCTCAGGGCCCAACCCATCGTCATCGACCAATACGTCTAGTTACCGTTCCAAACCGCTCGTTCCTACCACCGCGACACATGGCTCTCAGCCCCTCCTATTCGGGAGCCCAGCATCGATCGCAGCTCAAACACCTTGCGGAACCAGGGAGCCTTTTCGGGTCGCCGATTGGCCTCCGATGGACCCTGAAGGAGGAAAGCACCCCATGGAAGACCGGCCTCCACAATCCCCCTATAGGTTTGGAGAGTCCATGGTGGGTGTGTAGGAAAAAAAGAGACGGATTCGTCTGTCTGACCAGTCAACGCATGCGGGTCGGGATTTCGTCTCCCCTTTCACAAATACACGGCCCCTGCTGCGGTCCGAAGTTCTCCCAGCCTCACCACGCCCCATCCGAGCACGACCCGCGAGTCGCCCAGGTCCGGTCTACAGCCCTTCGGCGCCGGTGGTCCGAGGCACGGCGCCGGTGCGAAGGGTCGGTGCGAAGGGTCGGTGCGCCGGTGCTATCGTGGGCCCAGCGGTTCACCTGGAGGCCCAGCGGTTCGCGTGGCTCGTAGTGTGGCTCGTCCCGTGAAGTGAGGTGACGCGATCCAGGGCCACCGGGCACCTCCCTCCAGCACCCGGCACCCGGCACCCGTTCGGACCCATGCAACTCCTGGCGGGTCTTGTTCCGGAGGTTGCGAGAGATGGAGGAGCGACAGACAGGTCTGCGAAGGGACAAGATCATGCAAGGCTCCATTCCTGTTCACTTCTCCCGGAGGAGGATCTCAGAAATCCCACCAATCCGACGACCGTGAAGAAGCCGCTCATCTTCAGATCAACGACCGGAGACCCAAAGCGTTCCCAACGAAGGGGCTGTGTGGCGCGGCGAGGACGAGGAAATCAGGACGTGACGGCATTGAAAAATCCGTGCGGTCCGTGGATCATCTGCGTTCAGCGGGCAAAACTGGGTGAATCCGAACTCCGAAGAATCCGAATTCCCCTGCCAAACTGAGGGAGGCGATGGGGTCACTTGCAGACGACCTTTGAAACCAAAGCGGGCGAGCTCGGAATCCTCCTGCCGTGCTCACCACTTGCTCACCAGAAGCTTCTGCGAGTGAAGAGCCGTGGAAGTTGGCCGTTGGCATGTCGCTTCGAAGGAGAGGGCTGCTCTTCGAGCGCGGGCGAATTCTGACGTAAGTTCGGAACTTCTGGTTTCTGATCCAGCATGCATGGAAGAACTGCTTCCACTTGCATCCCATCCCGGTTGCACTGGAAGATCCCAGACCCGCCTGCGGCCACGATCCAGTGGATTCCGGATCGATCCATTCGTTTCGCTCCGGTCGTCGCAAGCGGTGTGAAGCGGATGATTTGATCGCCACGATGGTATCGCCGTGCGGTGTTTGTATCATGTTGTATCATGAAAAAGTCCTCGGATTGCAGAGCCCAAAACCCAAAGCTCTGTTGGGTATGCTCTTACACCCTGAGCCCCTTTGGTTTATATTTACGACCAAACCCCTAAAGATGCAAATATCCTTAGGCAAGCAAGTAGTCCAAACCCCAAAACCCTCAAGCCCCCAGAGAGCGCCTATTGCTGTTGATTTGGCTCGCAAAATGTCGCAGGATCATCCCAAAGAGCACTAAGATTTGGGCAGGTGTCCGAAGCCATTCCTGTTTGACTCGCACGTGGTCATTTCCAGTGGTGAGGCGCAGAAAGCAAGAACCAGAAAGTGAAGGCCACAATTGGTCATAACTAATCTTTCATACTCCATGTTTGTCTATATTCATCCAATTCATACGGACATGTTGGAGCCTTGAAGGGACACTTTCCGATGAATGTTCACCAACCTGTTCGTGAACAAGGCGAAGAGACGGGAAGAAACGCGTCCCGTTCCTCTCGAGGGTCTAAACAGGGTCTAGTTGACCGGACGTAACCTGAAGCATGGTGTGTTTCGCAATAAGTGTGAAAGCCCAGCAGTTTTGAGGCAAAGTAAAAGCCCATATTTAGAATATAGACGAAAGGGTCATTTAAATAACCGTTTCAAGGGTCTTGGATGCCCAACTGTTGAAAGATATGTGGTGCCTCCCATTCTGATCGCTCCGGAGGTGAGATCTACAGCAGCCCTCAAAATTCCCGTCCAGGTGCATGGGTCTGGTTCGGGCGGTGTTTCGGCATCGGCAAAGGGCAGTGCCCTGCAAGGAAGTGGAAAGCATGTTGAGAACAGTGCCTCAATGCTTCAGTGCAAAGAATGAGTCTGGGAACGACCTGGTGACATAGAATCCTGAGTAGAACAATGGTTGTTTGGTAAACCCTAAACCCACTCGAAAAAAACCAGAGTCTTTGGGGGTAGGTGGGCGCAGCCGAGCACACAGCGAGGCCAATGCAAGCGTGCGAAGCAGCAACGCTTGCAGCCACACTTTTGCAAGGTAGTCGTCTATGATATATGTTTGCGTACCCTAAACCACAGCCTTAACCGTGGCCTTCCCGGGTTGGATGCCTGTAGACCGTTTTGCCATGCAACTAATGGCCTTCTGTGGACGATGTTTGTCTTTAAACGGTCTTTCGAAGATCATTGGCCGCAATCACAAAGCGTGGTCGGGCCATCACGTGCCCACGAACCACGGTCATCACCTGCACTCGGAAGGGCGTAGTTCTCGTGAACCAGTGAGCCAAAAAAGAGGTCTTCTTCGACGCGAATGCCACTGGGCCGTGTGCCGGATGCAGTTCAGCAGTGCACAGTGTAGGAAAGATCATGGATTCTTGGGGCCGCACGTCAAGATGTGCAGCTTGGCGGTGTTGCCACTGGCCAAATGAGGTGTTCCACAAGCTCGTTCCTCTAAGCATCCAGCACCGATGTTGGTGGCATACGTGGAAGAAGTTCCGGAGACGTGTCTGACAGAGAAGCATCGAATGGCCCCGGCTCGCGTGGTGGACTTCCCTATCCAACTCGGCCACGGCCGGGCGCCGAGTTGGCGGACACTTTCTGGATCGCGCAATTCATTCGGTTACATCATTCTTCAAGCTTCCAAAGCATGCTGAGCTATGCCTCTAGGCCACCCGTAGTGGTTTGACCGGGTGCTTGGACGCACCATTCCGGAAGTGCTTGCATCAGCTTGCAGCTGACAAAATTGAATGACTTGGTTGGAGCGCTTGGCAATTTGAAGCAAATGGCCAGGCCAGTCCACAGTGGCAGACATTACGGCAACTGACCAACACACGGTTCAACGTGTTGCTTTTCTCAATCGCTTCACAAAACGCTGCAAAAAACGGCATGCCAGCGCCACACTCCTTGGTGCCGTACGTGGCCTGGGCATCGGCCTAGCGTCGATCGTTTGATGGGCAAGCGTCGTTTCAGATCGAAGGTTCAAACAAGACGGGGCATTGCTGGCCAATAGAAAAGCCTGATAAATATATCGTCAATATCGTGCACAGACGGCTCAGGTAAACTCAGCATTGTCGAAAAAGGTGGCTTGCGACGGGTTGACGGCAGGTCAAAAAGCGCCCGATTCCGGCGCTCTTGTCCAACCCCGGATGTGACGGTCTCGGTGGCGGCTCGGCGCCTGCCTCGGTCTACGCTCAGGACAATGCCAAGTGCGCACATACATCATGCTTCGGGAGTCCAAGTGGCTCACGGAAGATGAGGCTCAGAAGTGCGCTGCTCTAAGACTTTTCCCAGGCGGCTCGACAGAGCTTTCAGGTTCACCGCTCTGATCATGGGACCACATGAGCCTCAGCGAAGGCGGATCCCTCAGCATCTCAGACCGGGAGCCGCCGAGCTGCGCACGAACGTTTCAAGCGGGTCGGCCCGGCGCTGACGCGCGGAGGCTGGAGAACCGGCGTCAACCTGTGATTGAGTAAGGGCTAGTTTCACTCACGTCGCTCTGTACGTGTGATGGCACGAGAATAGAGAACGAACTGATTCTGGTTTTTCCGGAACCAAGTTCCCGGGTACAGATCATTTGTCTGCGGAACACTTGGACCGGAGGACGACCTGCTTACAGTATTATGTTTCATCTCAAAACAGATGCAAATTGACATAATATGCTGATCATCCCACGTGACGTTGATTCACGTTGATTCATGACCTCCTTAGCATACGGAGCTAATTGAGAAGAACTGTTTGGTTATTGTTGCTTGCCCTCATTCAACCGCATTTTGCTGCAAGCAGCCATGCGTGCCGACATGGCCTATTGACCTCCAGGTGATAGGGACGGATCCTGGCTTGTGACATCTCCCCTCTCTTCACTCTTTTTCCCCTTGTGCTGTCCGGTGTAGGGTTGGGGGTTAGCTACTGTCTGCCCTAGGGTATCCGATGGCTTCTCTTCTCACTGTCAGCCCTAGGCTGCCGGTTGTACTCCACTACCTCCCTTTTGACTGTTTGCCCTAGGGTAGCTGGTCGTTCCCTCTTCTCTACTTCTCTCCACCCTACCAGCGTTTCCCATCCCAATCTTTCCTCCTCCCTTACTCTGTGCTCCCTTAACCCACCTCCACACATGAGGACGCGGTCAAGAATTCACTGACGCAATCCTCAAAGGAGAAGGCCAAAATCTATAAGGAAGCAAATGAGTGCCCTCTCGTCCACAAGAAAGGCCGAACCTTAGTTGGCTCAACACTCCACTGGTACCTGCGCTTAGCAAATTCTCAGCGCCAACACGTGCAGGGTAAACAGTTGCTTAGTGTAGCTATTTATTTGATAGCCGTCGTTGAAGTGGGCAGCCATGACGAAAATCGGGAAAAATCCCAATGCAGGTGTCCAAATTGAAAAAAACGCATTGGAGACCCTAGTACGCCTCATTGAGGTTCAAGGACCGAAGGACCAAAGTGTTCTGCCAAACCCTAGCACCAATGCATCCCATGGAGGTAGTCAAAGCAACACTAACGGAGTGTTGTGAGTCGGAGTGCTGGCACTCGGTCGACCGTGCGTTGTGTGTGTTGCGACGACGACTAGGGGCCATGTTTAACTGCGGAATTTCATACCTGAAAGATTCGCTTCTTAGTTGTGTCTTGTTTCAGAAACAACCCAATTTCTGCCAGAATGGTGGTGATTTGGGGACCGATTCGTTCTTGGGGGAAATGATTCACCACGACTCCACTCTGTGAACCCTCCACTCTGTGATCTCGTCGCCCCGTGAGGCACGGCGGAGGTCTCGAGGTGCGGAGGAACGAAGGGGTGGCGGCGGGTGGCGGGTGGCGGAGAGAGGAGTGGTGCATCCGAACGAGCAACTGAAACGAACGACCCGCAAAGACCGGGTGGTTTCCAAGATTTGGCCCACTGGAGGATGTTGTCTTTTGTTTCAGCTAGTTGATATTCAACCACCGAGTTCCACTGGGAGGATTGAAGCCACTGAGCTCGTTTTCGTGATGTTTTCGTTGAAACCACCGACCAAGCAGGCGATTTCGCTGGTTTTTCGACCAGATCGGGACGTGGCGGTGTGTGTCAGAAGATGTGGGGATCGAAGTCCAAAAGCAGAATTAATTGGGGGGAATCAAGCCAGTGCTCGGAGATGCACTCGGAATGTTCATGGTTGCGTGGATGGCATGGATGGCCCCGAAGTTTTTCGGACGAGCATGTTCTGAAGACCAAACAGGTGGTGAACTCACTCCACTTCCATGATGATTTCAGGGGTATCTTATTTGGAGCGTTCTTGTCAGGTCTTTGCCGATGGAGCCTTTGTCTGCGTTTCTGGCTGGGTCCCAAGCCGCGGGTTCGGTCTTTTGGACCGAGAGACGCAGAATCCGAGCGCCGAAAACGCACCTCCTTTTTGGAGACGGAACTCAGAACGTCCTAGGATTTCGGCGAGAAATCACAGACTCAGGTGAGCTGAGGCATACTGAAAGAGAGCTGAGGGCCATTCCATACCCAGACACGACACATGGGACTGGAAGAGTCACATACGTGAGTTTACGAAAATGACCTGTAACTATTCCAGTCCCATGGATGATCTGGAAAGGCCACCAAGACTTGTAGTCACTTCCATTGGGTGTGTATACAGCATCTTTACATAAAGAGACCAGCGGCATCCAGCGGCCATAAATAATGGGTTGACAGGTTTGATATATGGAACCTTCCTGGCGGGGTCGTTGTCACGCCCGGGAGGTCTCCTGTTCATACACGCCCAAGTGTGTGTGGCCTGATAGTGGCGATGTCCTCATCGAGCCCACAAAACCCACCAGGAACAAGGACGCTACGAGCGGAACCGAGGCCTCGCCCATGATTCGTTCTCCATTCTCATTGTGTTGGAAGAGAATGGATCAGAACTGACCACTTCAGTTCAGTCCAAACCAGGACTCCTGGCTGGAACGAGCGTCGCGAGCGTCGCGCAGCGCCGCGCCGCGGCGGTGCCGAGGCCTCGCCCCAGAGCTCACCGCCCTTGCCCACGCTGTCGGCCTTGTACGGGAAGCTCAGTACGGGTGGGTTGGAATGATGTCTGGGACTGGAAGAGTTACATTGACCGTTCGCCACCCCATGAACATGGCCTTAATCAATCTACAGAGCGGTTCCAGTCCTGTGGATGGTCTGGGTTTGCAGGGCCTTTGAAAGACCCCCGGTTGATGGGGGTGTCATCAGGACGTGATTTTTCTTGATCTAATTGTTTCAGGTGACGGCTTGTTTGGGAAGGCATGTGAGCCGGTGGAATGATCCCGAAACTGCGAAAGTGTTGCTGGGTGGGTGTGCCAGTGCCAGTGCCCTCAGCCAGCCGCTGCTTAAAAACTTCTCGGCTTCATCGGCCTTTGGAAGCAGAAGACCCCAACAAACCCCACGGGGGGGTGATTGACTAAATCATCCAATGTCCAAATTGCCCAACAGTTCCAAAAACTGCCATGGTTCTTCAGCGGCCTTTGTTTCCCGTTGACGGGTCACCCGCGCCGCGCACCTTCGCTTCGACGTTGCGGCAGAAAAGGCGGACAGAAAAGCTGGCACGGCTGGAAGATCTAGGACCATGCGGATGATCTAGCAATCTCTTGGCATCTAGGGTTTTGGCACAGCTTGGGGTCATCTAGGCATCTCTTGTCGCCACGTCCACTGGCGGGTCGGTGCGGTGGGGTCGCCGTTGGCCGCCACCTTCATAGGTTGAGCGAAACAGTCAAAGACCATGAAAAAGAAGTGGTTTTAGTTGTGACCCGCGTGTTTGTTTTTCCTTAGTGACCGAATTGGTTGTTCTAGCGTCCTTTTACTTTTAGACTTGCTTCGAGTATTTGAAGTGTTGGGTAGCTGACTGAAAACGGGGCCACGTCCAACTCTACTTCATCTTCACTTCAATGGGGCCAAATTGAGTTGAATTGGACCTCCAGGTGGTCCATTGACCCGTGGGGTGTGCGTTTCGTTTCAGAGGCAGCCCACTGTGACGCCCATGGAGGTCCAGTGGTGGGGATGGACATCGAAAGGAGAGAGAGGGTCTGCCGAACTTGGCGCGGTTTCCAGATGGAAAAGGCCCAACTGTTGCACCTCTGGAAGATTTATTAATCTGTACATGAAAAAAATCATGTCCAGTTTGCACTTGCCTAGGTTATTGAACACGCGATGCATAGGTACATGTTCCCTGCAAAAAAAAAGAGACTCTGACTCAAGCCGTGAAAGCAGTAGAACTGTTTCTCTCCACGTGTTTCATTGCAGGCCCAAGTAAAGCCTTAAGTGTCACGTAAGAATATGTGGGGGCAGAGTGCACTTGGTAAATGTGAAAAAAAGCAGATCCAATTTGAGTGATTATCCAAACCTCAAGAGAACAGCCCTCCCGGAGAGTTTTTGGACATCTCCAGTCGCGGCCTGGCGGCCTGGCACGAAATGGCACCTGTCAGGGAACATGTGTGCTGCATCCACCAGCGACTGTCCCTCCGGGGTCGGTCCAGTGGACGCTTCGATGCTCGACGACGAAACGAAACGCCCGGCATCAACGACGATCCCACCACCCGGACGTTGGCAGTTCAAGGAGATAACGGATCTCCAATAGAGCAAAGTAAAAGAACTGGTTTCCCCAGAGTCTAGCTTGTCGCGACAGGGTGTTGTTTGGTGCCACATCGAGAGCCGGCGGGAAATATGTTGGTGAAAAAGTTTAAGAACAAACTTAGCAGGCCAAACTCTTTATGCATCTTTGTGTCATATCATCATATTTTATCATCATGTCATGTCTCAGCATGTCTCAGCCATTTTACCAATGGCATTCGTCTCAGACGGCGCAGGCGGTCTTTTCTCCGGTGCGTGGCAGCGGACTGGCTGAGGCGGGGCGGCGGGGCGGGGGGGCGGGGACGGAGAGCGAGAACACAGGCATGACAGGAGCAAATCGATGGCAAAAGAGTATATCACTGTACCCTATAGGCCTGGCGGGGCCTAGAAGTCCAATCACTGTACCCCAGAAGTCCAAACACTATTCGAGGAGAAAGACTGGAAGGAAATGCCTTTTCGGGTCACCTAAAGACCGTTTAAAAAATGGTCTTGCACTCTCAGGGTGTAGAGATCTATTTGAAAATCCTTTCCATCTAGTTGTGAAGCTCAGACTCAACTGCTTCAGCACACCAAGAACGAAGAAAACGAAAACCAACGAACAACACACAGCCTGGCTGTTTGGCTACCGAGACTGGATCTTGTGCTCAGATCCCAGGCAATCCCTCCGGAGATTTTCTGGTCCAGACACTCCATGGGACTGCTATATATGCCTACATTGGGGTGGTTTGGGGGGTCAATGTAGGCATATATAGCATACATGGAGTGTCTGGGTGGGCGTTGGCGATGTTCTTCAGACTTGGGCTTTGGCTTTGGCCGCCCTTGATTGATCATCCAGCTGATTGCTAAGTGAACATGACGGTGGCTCGACTCATTAGCGTTTTGTGGAGGATATACTTTTGATGCAACAATGCTCTCCTCATCGTCGGTCGGTGGAGAAACCACGGCCGGCCAGTGGAGAAACCGTCGGCCAGTCTCCGTACGCAGTTTCCCTCCGAGACTTCTTTAAAAGACAAACCACGGCTGTTTCCCAGCACTATCCGATCTTGTGTTGCGGAACGCGCCAAGAAAAGGCGAAGACAACGTACAACAATGGTGGAACGGGTCCCATTCAAAGGGCCCAAAGCATCATGCCGCGGTTGATTCGCCCAAAAACGCGGGACTTGTCGTTGGAAAAAGCATGTCGTTCACTTCCTGGTCGCGTAGAAAAGCCGGACCAACGATCGCGGTTGGGTTCCGAAAACCTCGCGACCGCGTGGGCCGCGGCTTCCGCGCGAGCGCCACGTTTGTGCGCCGAGGCGGCGGTGTTCTCCCCCGTGCGCAGCAGTCGGCTGGTCGAGGCGGGCAGCGGTCGGGCACTGCGACACGGAGGGAGGGTCGACAGGGCAGTAGATGGGCCGAGGTGAAGTTTTCCGCAGCAGGTCATGGTGAAGTTCCATGGTATAGAACTCCGGTCACGGTGGAAACTAAAGCGGTCGCCATTCGGAGGCAGCACCTTCATATACCTAGATCTCCAGTCCGGCACTTTTACAGGGTCCGGCGCCGGACTTCCAACTCCGGCGTTTTTCTGGATTTGGTCCGGCAGTTTTTCCAAGTCACTTTATGTGGATTTCCTGGCTTTGCATTCATTGTAAGGTACATCCACTACTGACGAATAACTTTGTTTGAAAGTGTGCTTGTTTGCCTGTTCAGCTGTTTTCTCATACCACTGGTTGTATCAGCGGTTCACACTGGCTCAATCAAATCCGCTTAGGTGATCTTCTGAATGAACTCGATACAGTGCGATGCACGTGTTGAAAGACGCAAGTGGGTGTACCCAAGGTGAAAGAAGATAGGCGATAATGTATTCCCACTGTTTCAGGATGTCGGGGGGCTGGGAAATAATTCTTGCTACGCAGGTTTGCAGAGCCTGCCGGGCAAGTTTTGGGTTGTGGAACGCGGGAATGCCAAGTGGTGCTCCAGCAGGTTGGGAAGCAGAGTGTGTGGTTTAAGCTTTGATGTCACACATTGACAATTGAGATGTCACTGCACTAACACGTGTGTAGCCAGTCACAGGTTTGTAATGACCACCATTCCACTCCCTGAAAGGCATTGGTTTGTGTGGATGTGGGCTCCCGCGTGCACATTGTGGAACATGTGGGCTGGGATATGCCACAGCAGTTCCCACACCAGTGCCATTGCCACCTGTTCCGCCGCCAGCTGCTACACCACCGGATGCAGGCCTTCCACCGGGGCCTGTGGTTGCTTCAGAATCTCAATGTTTTGCAGAGAGCTGCCAAAAAGGCACGTCGTAATTCCGGCGTAAAGTCCCGTAACTCCGGCGTAATTTTCCGGACTCACTCTTGTGAGGATTTGAATCTTGAAGGTTTTGACTGGAACATACTGGAACCATGAGTTCTTCGCGGGGTGTCTGAAGGTTCTCGAGGCAAGATAACGCAAAACAAAAACACGCGGTGCTAATAGCTGAACTGAGCAGGCCCCGACGCATCATTTGAGAGAATGGCTGCTTGGAGAATGGGGCTTTGAGCGTTGGGGCCTCAGCGCACTTGGGCCACTACTGCTGTGCCTGCTTCTGCGCTTGCGTTCAGGTTTTGTCGATCCACACACGCACCAGCCATGGTGGTATCTCGACGATACAGCCGGGCTGTGGGAGACAGCGCTGGACCCGCGCAACGGCGCGTGACACGTGCTTGCATGACGAGAATCAGGGACGCCGCAAGAAGCAGAGCAGCGGCTACTCATCGAGCGATTGGGAGAAGATGGAGGTGCCGGAAGCCGAAGAGCTGTGAGGGGCCCAGCATTCCCTGCCAGACCTTTACCGCGACCATCCGCGCCCAGTGTTCCCTGCCGGACCTCAACCGCGAGCCCCAGGCCCAAGTGTTCCCTGCCGGACCTCCACCACAGCACACATACACAACCACAATCACTAACACATAACCACAACCACAATAACAAACACACAACCACAAACACGCAATCACAAGCACAATCACAAACACGCAATCACAACCACAATCACAAACACACAAGCACAACCACAAACACAATCACAAACGCAACCCCAAACACACAACCACAACCACAATCACAAACACAACCACAAGCACACAACCACAAACACACAATCACAAACACACAATCGCAAACACACAACCACAAACACACAACCACAAACACCCAACCACAAACACAATCACAAACACACAACCACAAACACAACCACAGCCACAATCACAAACACGCAATCGCAAGCACACAACCACAAACACAAACACAGCCACGATCACAAACACACAATCGCAAACACACAACAACAAACAGAACCACAAACACACAGCCGCAAACACAATCACAAACACACAACAACAAACAGAACCACAAACACAATCGCAAACACACAGCCGCAAACACAATCACAAACACACAACCACAAGCACAACCACAAACACAATCACAGACACACAACCACAAACACAACCACAGCCACAATCACAAACACGCAACCACAAACACAATCACAAACGCAACCACAAACACACAATCACAACGACGCATCCACAAACACACAATCACAACGACGCATCCACAGCACACAACCACAAAGACGCAACCACAGCACACAACCACAAGACAACCACAGCACAGAACCACAGCACACAACTACAACACACAACCACAACACACAACCACAACAACACGCAACCACGGCACACAACCACAACGCACAACCGGAGGACCCAAGCAAAATCGAGAACCACAAAACTCACAACCGTGGCATCATGCTCCTCAGCATGGCTTGTAAAAACATGATTGCGATGTTATGGTGGGGCTCACTCGAGCAAAGTAATTGATTGTTTCTTTTTGCCCTCAGCATCATTGGACCCTCCGAATTGGAGGGTTTGGATCCTGCTTATGCAGTTGTTTGGACCCAAACAAAACCTTGACCCTTCAGGCTGAGAGGCGAAGGTTTTCGAGATCTGGATGTGTGGGGCGTTCCTCTTGTTGCCAACTAACCTCCGGTAATTGAATGCCGTCTCTTGATGATTGGAATCTGAAATCCACCTGAAATCCACGTCGATTTTAGAATGGCAAGTCCAAGAATGGATTGGTTTCAGGGGTAAGGGAACTTAATTCCAAATATGATCAGAGCAAATGGTAACCCAAAAAGAATGCAGAAGTCTGAAATTCGGTTCCTAGATAGTACCTGTAGGGCTGTAGGATGAAGAGGAAATCTGTAGGATTGGACCAAATCACCTGCTTCAGAATGGAAAGAGGTGGAGACCGACCTCTCCACATGCCATCCCCAGTCAATAGATGTCAATGTTCTCCACTCACCGTGAAGAAACGGAACTCCATCACTTTAGCCCGTGCACGTTTCCTGCCACGGGTCCGGCCACGAGTGTCGTGACGCATGGACGCGACGTCACGTCTCCGAGGACGAGTCGTCCGGACCGTCCCAAGGAATTCGGGGCACCCACCCACCCACCGCGCCGTCCACCACGCAGTCCACCTCCCAGCTGTCTCCGATGGCCTTGAGTCCTTCAAGGACTGACACCGTTCGGTGCTTTGGAGGATGTTGGGAGAGACGAGGGACTCGACCCGAACCAACTGCTACAATGTTGTTTCGGTCCAAAACCCTAGTTGTGAGGGTCCAGAGCCTCTGGGTTGGAAAAAAACTGTCAGTCATGGAGGAGGCCATCGCCAAAAAGGGCCCACCACTTGTGTTTGGCCACTCTTCGGTTTGGTGCCTGTCCCAGGGCAGCAGGAGTCATCGTAGGTGTCGTCCCAGTGGTTCCAGTTCAACTCAAACCGACCGGTTCCAATTTTTTGGTGTCTGCCGAGCGCATCACTGGTGTACTCTTCGTTGCAGGTCCGCCACGCCTGCCACAATGCACCTGAACTCATGGTGCAGCGAGAAACGCCCAAATGCACAACCCGGTGGGGGCATGACACATTTGTTCGGCGAAGCAGACTGACCGACTGGGTCCGTTTGACTGACGTATCCGAAATGTTCGTCCTCAGACTCTCATTGTTGACGTGTTTGAATGACTCCCACCTCAATTTCCCCAGGACCAACCAGAAATCCATGGCTGCTCTTTTCTTAGTTCTGGCGTTTTTCCGTCCATATCGAAAAAATGGAACATCACAAGCGCTTCTGTGGGAAAAACATGTGAAGTTGTTGGTTGGGACTGGGTGGCCCGATGGGTCGTCGGTGATCCTGCAGGAGCCCAGCTCAGGTCTCCACGGTCATCAGGAGTGAAGAAGCAAAGAGACTCAAGGGAAACGGAGAGCAATGGCCTCAGCCTACTAGCTAGTGATGACCTCTAACCTACTAGCTAGTGATGGCCTCCAACCTAGAAGTCTTTGTTGGGGCCAGGAGTCAGGAGTCGGTTCTTGTTTCTTCTTTTCGCTTGCACCGGGTGCTGCGGGGAATGTCCGACTCGCCCCCGATGTCGAGGTGCAGCAAGCGAGCTAAACTGGCACCAAGCGAAACCAATCTGCGCGCCATCTGGTCAAACATGTGGAGAAGACGTGCCAAATACAAAAATGACCCGCGATCGGAAAAGAAAGATGTGTGCTACCTCAACGTGGATTACATCGTGAATTTCAAGTGTTGCTTCTCGTCCCACAACATCCCGTTAACGTGAGGATCGAGGTGTTTTCTTCGTCCCACAACCGATGATGCGAAGCGCAGCCGAACCAAACCTACCTGCTAAAATGTGTGCTGGCCGATACATCCGGCGCACAAAGTCACGCTGTGTTAGAAGATACATGTCCAACCGATATGCTCTTCTTGCAGCGGCATAACTTGTACCAGAGGGTCCAGACATGCATTCGTAAAAAGCAAGACTTTGCAACAGTATAGCTGACAACTGGATTAGGTAACTACTTCGATCTTAATTCACGTTTGAGTTTCTTTTGGACCGTGGCACAATCCGGTTCGGCGGGTAAGTCCGTGGGTGGATGTTCTTTGGTACATATGCATACCCCACGTAGTGGCAGGGGAGGAGCGGTTGACGCGAGTTGCCTTTGTATGACAGGAAAAGACCTGAAAAGACACCAAAAATTGGGTGGGTGCTGTGGTTGCTGATCTCCAAACAGAAAGGTCACTCCGGTTCGGCTGGGGTCACTCCGTCCCTCCGTCACTCTGGTTCGCGGCGCTGGTCGGTGCGCGCGCGATCCAGGACCGAGGTCACCTCGCCCACGGTGATCACTACGATGCCGCCGAGGTCAGTGGTGAGGCGATGAAACCGAGAGAGAAATGGAAGACAGAGAGAGAGAGGTCACCGGGGTGATTCCCCAAGCAGTGTGGGCACACTGAGGGGTTCTTAGAGTAATAGAAAAGCAGCTGATGCTTAGATCGCTGAAGCGCGCAGCCGTTTCGTGGCAGGTGCAGCACTTGGTGAACGTCGGGGTACAGATTTCGTGGCAGGCACAGCACTCTGTGACCCTCGATGTGCAGATTTCGTGGCAGGTCGAGCACTTGGTGAACTGCGAAGTGCAGTATGCAGTACTTTGTGCTCTGAAATGCTCACTCTCTCACTCTCCCACTCACACTCCCTCACACTCTCACTCTCACCCACATTCACTCTCACTCTCACTCATACTCGCACTCACACTCTCTCACTCGCACTAATTCTCATCCACACTCACCTCACACTCACTCTCACTCACGCTCACACTCCTCACACTCACACCCACTCACTCTCCCACTCGCAGACTCTCACCCGCTCTCACTCGCACTCACACTCACACGCACACTCACTCACCCACACTCACTCTCACTCACACTCTCGCTCACACTCACTCACTCTCGCACTCTCACTCACACTCTCACCCACACTCACTCCCACCCACCTTCACTCTCACTCACACTCACTCACACTCACTCACACTCTCACTCTCACTCACTCTCACTCTCACTCTCACTCTCTCTCACACTCACTCACTCACACTCACTCTCACTCACACTCGCACTCACTCTCACTCACACCCACACTCACTCACCCCTTCAGTCTCACTCACTCTCACTCTCACTCTCACTCACACTGACTCACTCACACTCACTCTCACTCACACTCGCACTCACTCAGTCTCTCACTCTCACTCACACTCACACTCCCTTCACACTCTCACTGTTCCACGTTCACTCACACTCACACTCCCTCACACTCTCACTCTCAAAAAACACTTACTCTCACCCACACTCACACGACAATACCTGTTCGGCTAGTTTAAACCCCCGCTTATTTTTCTTGTCGAAACCGTACACACGCGCACTATGCGTTCCGTCGTGCCTTCGGCTGCATTCACAGGGTGTGTCTTGCTTCCATTCAGGTGCAGCTGCATCTTGGAGGTGGCGTCCCCATGGCTGACCGATAACATGGCCGATGCTCCTGACCACATCTATTGGGCCACCAATAAACACCTGTTCATGCAAGAGCTCGACCGCAGCACCGCTCGTGGATTGTCTAGGGGCCTTCATGATTGGGAGCGCTGCGAAAGAGTTTCTCGGTGAATTTTGGTGGCTGTACATTTTGTTGATGTGATGTCCTGTGTTCACCCGCGCCAATGCTTGACATTGAATCAAAAGCTATTGCTCTCCAGGGACCTGCCAGAAGATCCGCCACAGCACTTTCTGGCTTGGAACATCAACTTGCACCTCCACAAGGAGTGCTCCTACAATAGAAGGCAAGCTTCGCATCTTGCCATATCTGAATCCACCGGTGATATTTGCGATTGTCGGTGCACCTTTTTGACTACCTTTTGATGGTTCTTTGCAAGAGAAAAAAAGCCTTGAACAAGGAACTTGCATTCAAAACAAGGTGAGCCCGCGGACCCAAAAGCAAAAAGAAGCGCACAACCCAGGAAAAATAAACAAACACAAATTAGCAGGCCAAAACGAAGCATCAGCCCCCTCCAGGCTTCGTGGCAACTATGATATTTCAAGCATCGCGGTTCTGGTGCAACGCAGCTCCACTCACCTCCCAACGGGCTTCCGCGAAGCATGGAGCAGCACTACCCCCACCCATGCTTCGTTC